ATTTCCTATACGAAATCGTATACTTAAACCGTATATTTGATAAAGCTTAAAAAGCGTTTTCGAATAGGTGGGCGATAATCACATAATGATTATTAATCCTAAATGAATTTCGATAGCTTCATCACTTGACCTTTGCCATGAAAATAGGGAATTGAAACAAAAGAATTTAAATCAAATTTTGGGTGGCCCTGAAAAGGGCCTTAACTCGTTCTCTTAACACCTCCGAATTTCATGGACAAAGGCGTTGCCATGATTCCGTTATAGTGCCGCACACGGGACAGAGGATTCCATGGACAAGTGGTGATGGGTCGTAAGCACAAAATAAATGAAACATTGCTTCGCATGGACAAAAAAACCAGGCACTTCCATCAGCAGTTTCATGTGGCGGTTGCGCAACATTGCAAATATCACAAAGTCTGTTGTCATACGCGTTCTCGTCATTGTCATCGTCTCGTTCAGCAAACTCCACTGAGTTAATCGCAACAATTTCTTCCTCGTCATTGCTTAACGTTGCATCCATATCGACATTATTTTGATAGTTGGTAACTTACAAAAGATGAAGGAAGTACATTAAGTGTTCACGAAAGTCCTTTATGAAAAATTATCATAACACTAATCAAATTACCTCCTTCGTTTACTCGGCTGTGAGGAACCTCTAGGTGTTCCACGGCCATTTCTCCAACATACGAATTTAATATACGGCATCCGATCTCTATGGAAATGAGAATCTCTTACCGCATAATGGCAGTACGTAGCTCATTCATATATTCTAATGGCACTCTTCAACGCTCCAAGTGATTGGAACGCTACGACATACAATGTACTCAAGAATAGGTTATCGATTTCTGTGACAACGTGAGGAACGACAGAGTCTGCGTTCCGCACCTTACTACCGTCCGTAATTGGAAGAAAATGTGCTCTGTCGTTATGTCCTGACATTTTATATCGATTTTAAGAAATAAACGACCAATTATAACGAACTCAAAACTAGCTATTTGATTGGACGGAACAGAATGAAAGTTATTGGAAGATGGGGATGAAAAAAAATTTCACTCGAAAAAAATGACCGTGCAATTAATGTTAACCTCTGTTAAGTTAGCAAAAGGGCTTGATCAAAATTAATCATAAACGAAATTGGTTGTTGGATAGTTATTATAACTGGATTTTACTAATGAATATTCCGCGTAATTATCTAGGTATTAGTTATATGATTTAACACAGATTATGATACCTCGTAGTTCACGTCCATATGTAACTTTTGTACACAAAACTTAATAAGAATGACCTGCACTAAATACATAGCTTACTTTGTATCTTACTCAATCGGGAAAATAACCTTAACGAATTTAATAAATGGTATACAACCCTGAAAAATCACTACCCCCAGCTTCTTCATAATGTTATACTTATCAGCTATTAACTTGTTGTAATTTACATTATAGCTTATACGTATGGGATGTTTATGTATGAGCAGGGATCTAAATCTGTTCTTAATCAATAACTTATGTTGTCGCGGTACTTCGATGGTACTGAAAAACTCATGAAAAATATGAAGAAACATTTTTGTGAACGTTTGGCAGTCTCAAGAAAAGATCACCAAAGTAACAAAAATATTGTTTACATGGCCTTGAAATACAAACAGTTGAAAAATGATTAACTGTAATTAATCACTAAGTCGAAAGAGTCCGTTTATTTTTTTAGCCACAATGCAATTAGATGATGTAATAATAAAGAAATTTTAATAATTATAATGATAGTAACCATGTTAGATTTATGATGACTTCAATAACAGTAGCATAGTGAAATAAAAGTACTAGCTTTAACTCTTTTTAGATTTATTTTACCGATCGGTGAGACTATAATTTATGGACGAACCAATCAGATTTGCAATAACAGGTCTTGAATTTTGGCGCGAAATTATTTCATTTATTTAGATAAATAAAGTTTTGTCATTATAGTTTATATCAGTTCGTGATGAAAACCCTATATCTGATTATTAACCCAAACTACAAAATGAAAATATTAATCCTAATTCCTCACACTGGTTTATAACCTTCATTTGAACGTAGTATGTCAATGGACATTCTCAAGGTCTCTTTGGCGTCATGCAAACGTCGTCCATAAATTATAGTCTCATCCTTAAACATTACAGAAAATGGGATCAGTTTATTAGTTCAGTTTATCTGTATAAGAAAAAAATTCTTTAATTTGTTTACTTACTTGTTCATTCAGAATATTTAACTTTCTCATTTATTCCATTTATCTTAACTGATATTCAATCATCCTAAGAACTGTGAACTCATACAAAGTTATGATATATATGGAGTAAAACAATAGTAGCTTCTGGATTTATTCTTCTTTAATTAACATACTGTTAGCTGTAATGAATATGATTTTATAGTCATTAGATTTACAGACGTGCAATAGTTGTTTTTATACTGGAAACAATTAAATGGTTTTTGTAAACATTCACTTCACTATTTCCATTTAACTACCTTTATACATATATGGCAACGACGACAACAAAAATAAATAAACAACTACTATAGAGTAACTGTAACACGTTTTATGAAAAAAAAACATTTTTTACTTTTTAATTATAGTCCAGTTAGTCTGTAAAGTAAACAAATAAATTTAATGACAGTGATGAGTATAAAAACATTTTGTTTACATCTTAATTAAAGGTAATTTTTTGTGATTTGCTAGTTTGATAAAAATGTTTACAATAATTAAGAGTTCAGTTTAATGTGTTGAATTGATTTTATCAATATTTACATGATATACATATTGTGGTGTTTACTACCTATATTAGATATAAGTAGTATATAACGCTAGTCAGGAATAAAATGTCTGGTAGCAGGAGATTGAGAAGATCAAGGAGGAAAGAATGGGAACAGAAATTAATTGGTATAGAAATGCAGGAACAATAAAGTCTAAGACAATTAATGAAGACTTTGCAAATGAAGTATTAGAGTATAGTTTTTCTATTTTATCAAAGTAACTCTATAGTTTTGTGCTGATTGTAATCGATTGTCCTCACCTGTTTTCTCCTTTATTACAACATGATTCAAAAAAGTAAAATTCCATTTGTGAGTGCTTGAACTCTTGAGTTAAATTGTACATTGTATCTAATATTGTTGCTCAGTCGACTAGATATAAATCAACAAATCTACTATTGATTAGTTTAGAAGATTAAAATATGAATTAATCGTTTTTATTGAATTCTATTCAAATCCTTCTATTTATTATTTCATTTTGTTGTTACTATTGTGTAACCCAATTGTATCTCGCCTCAAACACTTACGATAATACAAAATATCCATCATTATTACATATTTTTCAAATTCTTAAATGATATTCTTGCCAGTATAAATGTTAAATGTTAGGTTATATGGGTCCATATATCTGAAATCTTGACTTAAATATGATAAAGTGAAGCCATCGGAACTTTATATTATTCAGTTTAACAATAAACTTTGATTGAATTTACTATTGTTTAAAGATGATGTCATCATAAACTAAAACAATATAATACTTCCTTATCGTGATATTTTTAAACATAATAGGGGTGTGGCCCCTAAGCAAACCACCTGCTTCGGTTTGGACAGTATCCCAACCCTCACAAATTCGAATGATTTATGTGGCGCATATCTGTTTCGTGCCTCCTTGTACCAATGCTTATATGTTTAGATAAATAATTAAATAAATAATATTGCAATATTTGAAATTTTAAAAATACTGATTTACTTGTGTTACGAATGTATAAAGCTGAATATTATCACCTTAACAATAATAATTATTAGATTTAACTTTAAATCATCCCCTCTTTATATGGTTTTTTGTACATGATAAGATTATCATATTGTTGAAAGGTACTAAATCAAAGATGTGAAACATATTCAATAATCAATAAAAGTGTTTATTTCTATTAATGTATTAAAGGCTTTGTATGTTTAGTGGGAGTAGTAAAATATTTCATATAATGAGTTTGTAATGTTCATTGAATTATCAAAGATTTTTATACGTAAAAGATCACTTTAAATTTAAAATGCTAATCCAATAGAACTTATTTTATTCAAATTTTTCTCTAAATTCATAAGAAGCAAGGTTCAGCAACATACCCGACCGACCTGCTTAAATATCTGGGCTACTTGTCCCTGCCATCTAGATATTTCAATAAGTTATCTGTTTGGTTGTTTATTTTAACAAATCATTATGTTAATTAATTACGTAAACTATTCAGGTGTTTATACGAATATTCGTCAAGATTAAAACGAATAGTTTGACAGATATTGGGCGCCGAGTATAAAGAAGTCATTATATATGTATTCAGGTGTGTTCGTTAGAAGTTTACGACCTTTCATTGTACAAGTTACCAAAATTTACAATCGGAGACATCATGATGGCTGGCAATATGGATTGAAAAGAATGAATATTATTCAGATGTTTTCTTGAACAATCCATGATAAATAAAACTCAGACTGAATCAAATAATAATAAACAATAGTTAATTCTCTTAAATGATGATTGTAAAGGAAAAAACAATATTAACATAAATAAATCTCTGATTCATTTCAATTCATTGAATCCAGGTCATACCTGTCAAGTTATCACTATGAATAAATATAACATGAATAAACTCATAAAGATTATTTTCTTTTTCTTTTTACTCTTTTCTCTTTTCTTCTTTTTTTCTTTTCTTTAATTAAACCCTGAATGAACTATTTAGATTAGTTTATAATACAATTATCGTCAACATGTCTCATTTTATTTATTTATTATTATTATTATTATTATTCATAAAGTCTATTAAATGAATCATCGAAATATAACAGTGAAGTGAAAAAAACAAAATAAAAAAGAAACTTTTCCTTGATAACATGTAATTACTAATTAAATACAAAGTGATTAAATCTAATTCATTCATTCATTGTAGTATATAAACAAACGTTTTAAATACGATGAAAGGAAAAGAAGTTGAGAGAATAATGTTTAAGTTAATGTTAATTAGTATACTTATTACATTATTAAGTTATATTCATATTAGTGAAGGTAAGCCATTGTTTCTAAGTCTATTCAATTGATGTATTCATACGAATTAAGTATATACATATATATGATTATGTAATTTCAAATTAATATTATATACTTTTTAATAGTTGATTGTTCATGAAAGGGTTAAGATTTAAAATTGGCAAGTCCTTGTCTTGTTAATAACTTTATAATGAATGATCAACTTAAAACAATCCAGGTATTTACAATATAGTAATAATGTATAGTATATATAGATATACATCTTCATCTTGTATGTTAAATTAATGAATTACATAATTATTTATGATTTAATTCATTGTTTGAATCGCCTCATTGATGTTTAAGACTGTATTTGATCACTCTCTTATTGACATATGTGTATCCTGTGAGAATTGCCTTCATATTGCTTCAAGTAACAAACATTACAAACGGAGATAGATGATTTAGTCATAGTTTTACTAATTGTCACTAAAATCATTGTAACAAGCGGATTCAAACATCACTCTACACGATCAAATGTACAGTTCATTTCATGAATAAAAATTTAGTTTATGTATGTTGAAACCGGTGTAGTTGAAGAGACAAGTAACAAAAAACCATTCTCTACTTTCATATTTAATTAATAATTTAAATTAATTAAAATTCGTGAATTAGTTAAAGTTAGACATTTACACCGTTGGATGACGGCTCAATGGTCTAAAGATTAGGCATTCGCGCGTGAGACTGATAGATCCTGGGTTTGAATCTCTCGAGGCGGGATCGTGGATGCACACCGCCGAAAAGTCCCATACTCAGACGAAACGGTCTTTCAATGCTTCAAGGTTTTTCATGGTGGCCTAACTTCAATTGACTCATGAATCCATTTTCATCGTTTAAAGTTTACAAAAACGTATTATAAATATTTGATATAGAAAGTTTAATGTAATCACCTCTTATTTCTACAAAATTTCTCCTCTAAAAATTTTGACGATTGTATATAAACTTTTGTAAACACTTAATAGAAGTTCGTAAGTATATTCTTTGATTGAAAATGGGTAATGAATCGAATAAAAGAATTATAAAGACACTTAAACAGAACATTTATGAAGTTTAAAAATAAGTAGGGTAAATATTTCAAGTGGTCACTCCAAGTAAGATCTTTCTTCTAAATATTTAGCCACTAAGCAAAAATAGACAGTGGATAGCAGTAGAATCCAGGACTCACATTTCGTGCTAATTGAAACTCGTCAGCTGGACTCAGTAGCTAAGAGGATAACGCAATGACGCTTGAAGCGAATGATACTGAATTTGAGTCCCACAGTGAAAAACAACTCTGAGATGCAGGTACATCCATCCAACGAGTCCCAAATAGGACGAAACACGAGTCTTGGATTTCGCTGCTAGCTACTACCTATCTTTGCTTATAATCCTTAGGAATTAAGGGTATATCGAGGCAGTCCACAAAGGATGCACATATGCCAACAAGAGATTGATCAATTATAGTCCTAGATAAAAATAGGAAGATACAAGTAAACAACATCAAGTGTATTTAGTTACTAACTGGAGAAAATATCATTTCCCTCAATCATTAAGCCTTAATTAAATACGCCTATATAAGGTTAAAATGAATAACATATTTAATAGAGAATATTGTTTTCAATAAAATCCTCAAACAATATTGTTTGCTTATACATTCTGTTCTAATTTACAATTTAGGGAATTATAAACTTTTAAAATGAATAATAGATTTTAATTACAATCCTCAAAAAGATAAATGCAAGTGATTTCCCATGAAGATTGTTGGGTAATGTTTAAATAAATCCACTTAAATTTAAATCATCTCTTTGTAATAGGTGATAAAAACAACTAGTTCAGTAGGAAAACATAAACCGACAGTAATGTAACTTATAATCCATTAGTTATAATTGGCATAGTTTACATAATAATCTACTCTCCTTATTGTCGGAAGACACATCAATTCCAGTCTATATAGAACACTTTATATCAATTATTACACAAGGTATAATAATAATATGAAAAAGAAAGGAATTCTGGTGTTTATCATCAAAGGTAGTCTATATTACATTAGTGTAAACATAGTCAATTTTAATAGCACACATATTATAATTACATCATCATAAGGTGAATAAGTCATTCCTAATTTCAAAATAACAAGGAATGTTAGAATGTTTATAAAAAAAACCCAGTAATCAATAGATTTGATCCATCTATGAAAATTTGTCAAACATTAAATTCAATATGGTAATATTTTTATTCTTGTTTACTTATTTCAGGGTTATTTCAATGTAAAAAACTTGGTGAAACATGTCATAAAACACCATTCGATCGTTGTTGCGGTAAAAATGCTTGTCAATTAAAAGGTTGGAAAGGAAAATGTGTTCCATGTTTAAGCACTGGAGATAGATGCTTAAGAAGTAGAGAATGTTGTAACGGTAAATGTGTTTTCTTTAAATGTAAAAATAAGTGAACTGTTTATTAAACAATATATACATAAATTTTAATGTAAACAAAATTGATATTGAAAAATAAAAATACAAACATTTCGAATGAAATTTTGTTTTAATAATCATTCTTTCTGGTAATGATTTGAATCATTACACAAAATGTATAATGAAGGGGATGATTATAAATGTGAATGATAAATTGATTGAAGAAAAAAACTTATTATAGTGTCATAGTAGTTTGATTAATAGAATAAATCATGGATATCATTGTAGTTAGATGGTGGTTAGAGGTAGTGGACAGGAAACCCTGGATCTGGGTTTCGTGCTACTTTGCACTCATCAGCAAGGTATACCTGTAATCTTGAGGGAACTGGTGCTCCCCGACGGATTCGATCCCGTGTGATTACGTCTCAGTCCTACAGAAGGTCAGTCATCCCGGATAGCTCAGCGGTAACGTCTCTGACTGCGAAGCTGGGTGACACGGGATCGAATCCATCAGGGAGCACTAGTTCCCTCAAGATTACAGGTATATCTTGCTAATGAGTGCCAAGTAGCACAAAACCCGGATCCAGGGTTTCCTGTCCACTACCTCCAGCCACCATCTAATCTCACAAAGTATAGCGTTACAGTGTATACGTTTTATGTGTAATATGAAATTTCCTGTGAGACTTTAGTGAATTGAAATTAAAGAACACCTTTCCTAAATAAGTATCCCATAATATAGTGGTTTATTTATTATTAATATTATATATCGCTGTTTAGCTACGAATTATGCTTTTTTCTAACGGTTGTTCAGAGTTGTATATCAATAGTACCTTCTGATATACCGACATTGAGAAGTATAATAACAAGTTAACAATGGTCATATTGGATGATATTTTATTAAGTAAACTGAAAAAAAAAGAATGTAACGAAAGAAAAGTGTATTATGCATACGTCTTTTGACAATTTTCTGTTGACATGATATATCACTATCCAATAGAAATATATACACATTTTAATACGGTATTTTTTGTTCATATTCAAGGGTTTGAATTTTGTTGAGCGGTATAAGATGGTTTTACGATAAAAAAAGAGTAAGATTATGACAAACATGTCATTGTAAGATAAATATAAGTCTATTATGGAATCATCAACCGTTTTAGACAAATTAAAAGGTTTTCTAAAAGACCAACCATGAACGCATTTCACCTGAAGTTCTCAAAATACTAGGCTAGACGGTTTGTAAATGTTATTCATTTAAAGGGTACATTCCATCATGGACTCTAGGTGGACGACTATTGTGAATCAGACAATGCAAGACAGCTTTATTGTCTTTGCATCCATTTCCTCTACCATTAGCGCAAACGACCATTGCAACTTGGTCGATAGTATTCCATCTGCACTAATAAGGACTTGACACACATGATATTGATCACCACCCAGTGATTAATCAATTGTGATATCACTGTAGTGAATTGCTTCTTAAATATCATCATAATATTTTACATATACATCATTATCTATCATTTACTCTTAAGATGATAGATCGGAACAAACTTATGCTTAAACTAGCTCGATAAATTGAGTGGTAATAGGATCCGTACTGCTGAAGAGTCCCATACTGGGACGAAACGGCCATCTAGTGCTTCCAGTTTATCCATGGTGGTCTAGCCTCAATCGACTCATGATTTCAACTATTGAAAATTAAAAACACTTTGAATTTGGCCACTGATGTAATCATTATAAAATCGAATTGACAGTAATTATAACTGAATGCATCATGAGACTAAATAGTGAACGTGTAGTTATATCAAATAGTCAATAAATATAACAACCTTGATCAGTTTAAAATATTACGTAACATAAATTGTATGTAAATAATTGGATTAATCAAAATCAATATTTTCTGTGTAATTAAAATGTTCTGATATTAATAATTGTATATATTGAATTGTTTAATGCTATTACTCAGGTGTTTTAATAATTAATATAAGATGGTGGTGTTACTTGGCACCCATCCCATACCATCCAGCCTCATAGTCAGAGACGTTACCACTGAGCTTGGGGTGTATCCCCCTAAGAAAACCACCTACTTCAGTCTGAGCACCCTGGTAGTGTCATCACCCCCCTCACAAATGTAGTGAATTGTGTGGTGCATATCTATTTGGTGCCTTCTTGTACCAAAATATATGTCAGTTTAGGTGTTGTGGAGATTGTCAAGTTTTTGATTGAGATCATGAACCGATTGATGTTAGACCACCATTGAAAATCTGGAAGCACTTGACAACCGTCTCGTCCTATTGTGGGACTCCTCAGCAGTGCGCATCTACGAACCCAGGGCCTTCAGTCTCGCGCGCGAACGCTTAACCTACTGGACCACCGAGCCGGCATCTGACGGTGTTAATGTCTAACCTCAACCAATCCACGAAGTTGCGCGACCATCTTCCATTGTACTGAGGTAGACACCTGTTTCTACCCGACACGGATTAGCTCCACTGGTCACGACTTCTCACCAGAACTCCGAGAATTTTCTCACGAAGCTAGTCACTAGTGAGCACAACTTCGTGGATTGGTTGATGTTAGACACTAACACCATTGGATGCCGGCTCAGTGGTCCAGTAGGTTAAGCGTTCGCGCGCGAGACTGAAGGCCCTGGGTTCGAATCCTGCGAGCGAGATCGTGGATGCGCACTGCTGAGAAGTCCCATGATAGGACGAGACGGTTGTCTAGTGCTTCCAGATTCTCAATGGTGGTCTAACATCAATCGGTTCATGATTACAATCAATATATATGTGTCCAAATAAATAAATTCCTGACGTGATTAATAAAAAATTACAATGTACAACACATGTCACTCATAAATTGATCAAGTTACTCTATGGTAAACTGCTTGGCAATGTTGACGAATTCACGAAATTACACAACCACTACTTATTAAATTATGGACTACTATACTCAAGTATAAAATATTTCGTTGAATGTTGAAACCTTTTGAAAGAGAAACAAAACACATTCATTGTATTAAGTATTACTTTTTTGCAAATATCAGCTATACATAGATAATCTTCGGTCCTTATTCATTTACAAAAGAGTAAGCTGTTATTCATTGTTATTAGAATGGGGGTTTGTGGATATTACAATAATTTAATAGTTGAATTCATGAGTCAATTTAAGCTAGACCACCATAGAGAACCAATCTTTGACGTTTAGCATGAATAATATATACACCATATATGATCTTATAATAATGATTTATTCATATGTTTACATACATACAAAGATGATTACAAGCTCAAATGATATATTTAAATAATTCATGGAAACACAAAAAAATAAAAATCAGTTTTCTTCTTGTGCATTAAGCATATTATTAGATTTTAGGTTCAGCAATCACTATTGTAAATACAAATGTGTGACATATTCAGTTTTTCCCAGTTTACTTTTAATAACCCGCATAGTTCTTCTCTTATCACTAAAACTGACAATTTTAATTCCATTTCTATGTAACTAAAAAGAAATTTAATTGCATTTCTAATCGCAATGTCTATTCCAGGTCAAGAGTATAGGATGGAGGTCGAATAGAATTGATGTGACATTTTTTCAGAAGTTGCAGTTTTATATCGAAACGTAAATGGAACAGTCGGAGTATGCACATATACCAATAAGAGACTGATCAATTACAGTCCTAAATATCAATGGGAAGAATCAAGTAAACAATACCAACTGAACATGAGCACATACTTTTAAAAACAAGTTAACCAATCACTTATCTTTAAATTTCTTCATTCATACCCAAAAGATTTTGATCACTGGGGCTCAGGAATCTCAATAACCGTACAATAATTGTCAACCAACAAATTATAGGAGACTAACTGATTTCATGCTAAACTTGGAATAATTATGATTTTTTGCTCAAATCTATTAATCTACTGTCTAGTTATTAAGTAGTGATCTTTTATTAGAGTAAACATATAAATAACAGTAGATGCCATCTTCAAATGCTTGTTTCAGAACATGACAGTTAACTATTATTACGACAAGTTACTCATCAAAGTGGATACAGTCTAAACTATCTTTCCCTGTCAATATACACTCCCAATGTCATAAGAAATCACCAAGTCACTTTCAAGTACTCGTCTGTTAGCCAATTGCCCATACAAAAATAAATTTAGTTAATCAACTTGCAAACCTGAATTTAGTCAGCAGCTGTTAAAATTCCCGTAAATCTCATATAAAATAATCGTTCATCCCTATTATCAGAGATAGAAATCATTTGGATGGGAACATAATGGTTTGCACTACCAGTGATACTTACATAAAACGGAAGTTTATTGTTTATCAATAATGTAGGTTACTATTATCTCAATTATAGAAGTAGTCTATAACAAAGTATTTTCATGGTTTTTATTTATATGGTCATGTGAAAATATTAAGCAGATCAAGGTAGTTTATGAGTCAATGACCACATTATGAGTAAAAAGTACAAATTGATTGTGCGAAGATAAGTGTTTTAGCAGTGATAAGAATGGTGAAACAACAAAAGCTGGATATTTGTTTGGCGGTATGGAGGTAAAATTTTCCCGTAAGACCAAAGGTCCTGGGTTCGAGTCACACATGTGAGGTCGTGAATGCACGCTGCTGAAAAGTTCCATACTAAGTCAATTAGACTTTGAAAGAATCATCATAAAACAATTGAAATGTGTATGCAAATAACTAGATAGGGAGGAATATAATCAGTAGGTGAAAAATGACAAATCAATACAGGATGTGAAACAAAATTAATAAAATCATTTATTGAATCATACGGAATCAATCAAAGGACATGGGTATCACAAATTTCTTCTGGACACAAAAACGAGAGTTATATGTTCGGAACACTCTAGCATCTGCTATTCTTATGAGACGAGACCAAATCCCATTGAGAAATGACAATGACATACGATAGATCACTCGAAATGATTTGGTTTTCTCCATCATATGACCACGAGGTATGCTAAGGTGGAAACAATGAAATAAAGCTGAAATTATTTGTTATAATTTA